TTATAAATTTTGTAAATTTTCATCTGGCGTAAAATATATAAATACCTACGTATAATTATATTATATTTATACGCGATAGATCCAGTGATTAAGAACGAAAATCGAGTGGCGATAATAACAATCATTTCGTGGACAATGCTGCTATGTTGTTAGCACTACAGTAATTACGCGAGTATATACATATATATTAAATAATAATATGTTAATACTAAATAGTATCGGTCGAAGAGGCCAACGCGATAAGTGGTGAACTGGCGACGACAACGACGTCAATAACTATCTAATTATTATACTAAATTATCGATTACGTGTAAATAAGAACATTACGTACGTATATAAATTTTATCGTTGTCCGATAACTTAAGGCGGAGTAAGAAAAAGAAACTAATATTCATGTAATCGCGTATAATGTATACTGTATGTCTGTATAGTGTACAGCAATAAATAAAACTCGTTTTTGAACGCTCTGTATATAGTTTTGTGTAGACACATACGTCGCGTTCGCCTTTACTTGTCTTTGTTTAACTCAGTCCTCGTGACGGAACGTCTTGCCCGCTACAGAGGACGACGAGTCTCTGCCTGCCGCACGTCGATGGCAATAACAACAAAGACGACATCGCCGGTAGCGTGTTCGGGAGGGTAAGGAGTATTTACACCCCCTTCCTCTGGACCCGTCCGTCAAATCTCCACGACATATCAGAGCTTTTGTTTCGACGCTATCGTGCATGGTATATATACCTAGTATAAAGTAACCATATTATAGCATAACCTTTTTGAACGTGAAATGTTTTAAATTTTCTCAAAATATTCTATGGGAATAGAAACGGTCATTGCGGGATAATATTTGTGGTATTAAAAATGTATATACATTTTATCGACAGTTATGAATTATGATAATAGATCCATAACGTTCGCGAATAAATAAACGGCGCATCCCTTGAAAATCGTATTCGAACAATTGCGTCACGATACGCCACTCGACGACTATAATATAACTACGTTGTTATAACGTCGTGAGCGGGCGAGCGCGCGTGTGTGAACGCGTCGCCGAAGAGGCCTGTGGCGGGTCGACGTGCGCCTACCACACGCATTCCCGACGTTACCACGCCGCGGCAGATGCCCCGGGGCAGGTATACACACGAGCGATTCGCAGGCGATTTGGCTTCCCGAAAGACAACAGAAACAATAAAAAAAAAAAAACAAAAAAAAAAAAAATACATAAGAAAAATAAAAAATATGGTCACCCGAAACCCGATACCGTTTTGCGCGATACGTATCGATCGATTCGAATCAACGTTTTTCGAAACCCGTCTGACCGGAGAATTCGGTCTCCGGGGCTATATTCCTCCACGCGATATAGGTACATACGTGGTTAACGTTTACAAAAGGTACCTACGCCGCGCTTTGCGCTCCGACTCTGTCGCCAGCCGCCAACCACCCTCCGCGTGCGTGCGCGTCACAACACGTCGCGTCCCCTCGCGACGGGCTCCGACCACCGACCCTGACAAAGGCCGGCCGGAGCGGTGCGCGCAGTCTCCTATCGATTATCACCCCCACCCGACGGCGTCGCCGCCGCCGCCGCCGTTCTTTTGACGGTCATTCAAAGGGATATGCTTGCGCGAAAGCGGCGGCATCGTCGTCGTAAGGGTGGCGGCGACGGTGGCTGCGGAGGAGCGATGCTGCTGCTGGCGGCGGTGGCGATGCAACTACACGTCGGCCCGACGAGGTAGTGGTGGCGGCGGCGGCGGATACACGCACAGACAGTGCTGCGCGGGCGCGCGCGTGTTGTTGTTGTTATTATTATTGTCGTCGTCGCCGCCGCCGCGCCGTTGTACACCGTAGACCGTAGTAGCCGTCGAACAGTACCACCGACCGTTCGTGGTTCCCGTCGAGTGAATCTCTCCCGTTTCGGCTGTCCGATCAACGCTTTCGTCCGTCGAGAAAAACATACGAAATCCGCGTCCGTGTCACTTCGGACACGGCAGTCGTCTGCAGTACCTGGGTGCGCGTTAACGGACCGTTCTGTCCGCCGTCGCGATTTGTAGGTACCTATCTACCGATACCTCTTGATATACGTACGTAACGGTCGTAACAATTATTATAGTATTATTATGTAACGTCGTATCCACACTCTCACTATCGTAGTCTCCGATGTAACACCGTCGCAATATGGAACCGACTGGACGGAGGAGAAAAAAAAATCATAACAATAACAATATTAATATATCGTACATCGGTGCCGAAAACGTTGCGCACGCGAGACCTTGACCTTGAGACTTCGGTTCAGTAGACCAGTGCCGCCCGCCACCACCGCCGATCGGTGTGCATGCGTAGAGGTAGTTGTGCTTCTACGTTCTTGTTTCACTGCACGGCACGGCGCCCGGTGTAGTACCCATCGGAAGAAGAGAAAAAGGTAGGTCGGAGAGAACGAGTAATCAGTGAGAGAGAGAGAGAAAGAGTGAGAACGATAGAGAGCGAGAGAACGAGCCGGAGGGAATACCGAACCCCGTCCAAATAAACAACATCCCCCGATTGGAGGCTAAGACTACGTACGACGATCGAAGGCAGTCTTTTATAATCTTTGTCTCGGACGAAACGCGGCGTGGGTGGGTGGATGCGTTTTTATTATTAATTTTTACAATAATTTCCTATCCGTGTCTCGTCCGCAAATCGAACTTTCAATGATTTTCCTGTACACTGTAGACACAGCGATATAGTTTTCGATGATATTCGTAGTGTCTCGTTTCGCTGGTCGTAAAACTAGAAAGAAAACCAACAGAAAACGGTCCGCCGCCGTCTATTCGGCGGTGTCTTAGTCTTATTTAACGCGATCTTCGACGTCGTAGCCGCCAGCCATCCGTATTAACATGCAATATAGGTATGTTAAGTGTTATGCTATGTGCTGAAGCTACTCGTTATCTATGATGATATTGTATAACAAAAAAATAATACCGTCCTACGATAATAATTTCGGTGTTGGTAATGACGCGGCTGTTTCGGAGTTCCTCGCTCAGTGTGTATTGTAATGCGGCACTGCAACGTATCTAGGTGGCGATACAATTTTCGACAAGTGTTAAATAAATTATTTAATGTCATTCGACAACGATGTCGTCGTCGTTATGTTGCTATTTGTTCACCTGAGCTCTACGAATATCATGAAACAGTTGTTATTTGTTGTGTATTATACTTACCCATCGAATATCCTACTCCCAAATGAGTAAATAATCGTGAAAAAGTCAAATGACGTCTTGTGCTGGCCGATTAGCCGATTTTAAAGCAACAATAAAAAAAAATTCGCGAGGTTAATTTTCCCTTAAATTGTAGGAATTTTTAATTTTTAAAGTGCAATTAGACGATAGAAAAGTTCCACAAATCATTTTATTTTAATAATGATCAGTTTGTCAGTGGTATAGGTGCTTACACAATTTTTTTGTGGACAACATTAATTCTATCAATTATCCACTTAAAGCTAGTAACAGTATTTCAATTCAATTGGCCAAACATCATTAATACCAACCAATATAATTTAATGTTATCATACGATGAGCATATGCATAGCAAGGTGTTGCATAGGTATTAAAAGTTAAATTCACTAATGAAATGTTATAGTTAAATGTATCTTCTAAACAATAATCCACAAATTTGCACTTCAACTATAGGGTTCCTATCAGGCTTGTGGTACTTTAAAATGTAATATATTACTTATTAGTTATTACTATACATTATTTTTTTGACTATTGATTCTTTTGTCAAATATTTTTGTAAATAAAAATTTTTATTTACACATTTTTAATAGAAACATTTTAAATATTCATGTAGAATAACATGCGAGTTATTTTGGTTTATATTTAATTTATAATAAAAATATTTTTTATGCTTTAGTCAAGAAATATTAAATTATATTTGTATGCTACTCAAACATACAGCTTTGGTGGTCATCAAAATCTATTAACATCAATAGAATACGAACCTATTAATCCAAAACTCTAAGACAAATCACTACATTACATATTTTATTATTTGGCCTCTCTCACTTTGGCTATATAGAAACATTTTATTTTAAATATAATGGTATAAACTATACAACAGTATTTAAATAACATTTTTAAGCTGATAACAGAAAAATAGAACTTTAGACTTTCAGTTTTTTGTTGTAATTTTTTGATCAATTATATACTTTACAGAGAAAATTTATCTACTTTCATAACAAATGTTTTGAACAAAAATAATAGTAGCTTGAAAACTTTTTTTCAGAATACAAGTGCTTAAATTTATAATTTTATACTTTGAATAGTAATAGTAATTTACCTACTTTTAAAATCATGTTGATATAGGCACATAATTGTATTTCAATAAACTTAAGAGTTAAGAGCCAATCTATTTTGATAATTATTTCATAATATAAAATATATGGTAACAAACAAATAAAATATTTTTGCAAGTTAGATTACTAAGTGTCGATGAAGAACGTAATGATTGTTGTTTTAATTTATAAAAGATCAGACTATCCACACAAACAAAAATAATAAAATAAAAAAGTCATATTTCATTAATTTATAAATATTAAATCAAGAAAAAATATAAATAGGTATTAAACCAATAATAATTATTTGTATATTTTAATTAAATATCAAATTAACTAAGATAAGTTTTTTTTTAAATTATTATAAACATATTTAACTTATTTTCTAATTGCTAATAAGTAATAACTTAATAATAATCTACTAATTAGATTGCACAAATGTATAAGAAATTTTAACTGATAGTACTAGTAATCAATTATTAAAAAATTTTGATTTATAAGCTAAGCATTTTAATCAGGATCAAAGTTTAAAAATATGAATGAATACATTTAAAAATCAATACTATATTTAAGTTTAATTAAAAAATATATTACTGATATTTTTAGTTTTAAAATGCATTCTTTATTTGAAATTATAACAAGATTTTTACATAATGAAATAATTTGATTTAAATATAACTAATTCTAAAAATATTTATCACCAATCTACAGGTTGTAATTTTATAAATTTTGATAAAATAAAAACAACTATTAATGTGAATGTCACAAAACATATTACAAATAAATACCACGATTCTTCATCAAAAACATCCGAGAAAGCTGGCAATTGATTGTAGAATCCATTGATAATTGTTGTAGTGTAATGTTCTTTTTTTGCCATTCTTACCGTTTTCCTCCTTTTTTCTTATCAGTTTTAGTCACAAGAACTTCAGTTAATTCTTCTTTAGGTGCTAAAGGAGTTATATGCTTATTGAACTGTTGAAAAATGTCCAAAACAGTCAAATTTTGGCATTTAAATAACACTGATTCACCATTAACTATAATTAGAAATTTAAATTTACATATTATATTCAATTATTTACAAAACATACAAAAAATTAAATATTTTACCTAAGGAAACATCAATTGTTGATTCACTTCTATCGTTAACAACTTCGTTTCTCATCAAACACTGAGGATTTGTTTTGAGTACTTTTGGCGATAGTAAATAGTACATGAAATTTCTAAAAATAAGAGTAAATTGTATTATTTTATGTACATAAAAATTTAATGTGTTAAATATTAAACTTATTAAATTAATTGTTTTGTTTTAGGAATAACATCTAATAAGTCATGGAGGTAAACAATGATAATTTTGTAGTACCTCAAGAACAAATTAATTTCAAACCAGTTTATGAAAACGTCAATGGACATTTCAATGGAAGTAAGTGTTTGCAACTACATTTAAATTTCATTTTAAACTATAGATTTTTTCTATAAAATATATGTTACATATTTCTAACTGTGACTTAAAATACAAATATTTAAGCTTAAGCACTACCTATAATGTAACTATATTTGGGATATCAATGTTAGAAATAATGAAGGTTATTTTATTGGCTTATTAATTTATTATACAACTATATATAAATTCTTTCTAATATAAAAGTATATTGAATTTTTGTTTATATATACAAAACTTATTTACACCATAAAAATATTGAATAAGATTTTATAAATTGTTTGGATCATAACAAATTTATTACAATCGTGAGTTTGACAAAATTAAATTTTGATTTATTTGCAACTTTCTTAAGTCGAATCGTATATTAACGATAAACAATTTTTTATTACACTGATGAATTGAACGTACACGTACCGCCAATATTGTTAAATTATATTCGCCGTGACCAAAAACGGCATTTCATTCAAACATGGCGATTCAGTGACATGACGTTTCGTACATGACAACAGCAGAATGTAGAAAACAATTTACCTGGCTGTGGCAGAATTTTGGCTAAAAGGATCGAACTTGACCAACACTTTTTTCACTGGCTTAAGGTTCAACAATAACGTCTGTTTCCTTATCGCACTCACTAAGCCCGCCGACTTTGATTTCGAGCCGGAAAATGGTAGAGACATAGCGACTATAACCTACGATGCGTCGTAGCGACCGTCGTGCTTTTTAGGAACGAAAATCGATAAAATCCCTGTGGGTCGCGGGAGTGGCTACAAAGCCTGCACTCTACGTCTTAACACTTTAATAGTTTTAGTTTGGTCTACAGCGGCGCTCATAGCAACAGCGCTAATACGTCGTTTCATGACGTCACAAATCACAATTATAGAGCATGTTCTGCCTAAGGATTGAGGTTATGGTTATCGTCACGCGTATATACCACGGTAGTGGTGACCGTACGCGCGTCGCCATTATATTTCAATCTTGCCGAGTTGACGACGATCGAACTACAGCAACCAGCGAACATAAAAACGGAATCTAGTTGGGCAACACTGGTCGTCGGGCTTGGGTCAGCTACGTACGCGTCGTAGTGTAGTCCATCGCGGTTTTTTTAATTTTTTTTTTTTCTCTCATTATCGTAATCATTCTTTCCGCGTCAATCTTTTTTAATAGCGTAGTGTTTTCATTATTAGATCGTTACGAATTTCTGTTTTTTAAATTTTTATTATTAATAATGCACTTGTTCAGTTGATCCTCTCTGCCAACGGTTTCTGACGCGAACGCTTAAGCGTGTGAGCTCGCCGTCGCCGTTGCCATTCTTAACCGGAACAAGCCATGTATCCCGTCGGCCAACGTGAGTACAAGGCACAGCGCGCGCGCACACACTAACTATTATGTACACACATACACATTTACACGCACACACAAACACGATTATACTTCTTATAGCTTTGTGTGCGGATTGATCAACAGAGCTGTAGAGGCAATGACCTCCATTCCCAGAATAATATCGCGTTAACGAGAATACTGTAGTGTCGGGGGTTTTTCGCCATCTCAAATTTCGGATCTCGTGTGTCTGCGTCCCGCCCCTTCGCTGTTCATAATTATGAGTTTGTCTAATCAAAAATATTTTTTCGCGGCAATAAATCAATCAACTCGATCTATAAACTCTCCGGTCGCCATCGTTACCCACAAATTTCTATTCTTCGACATTTTTTCGTTAATATAAATAATAACCTTTATTTTGGTTTTTTACCACTTCCAGCCCAGCCATACCACCGTAGGCTAAGTGATGAAATGTTAAAACTAGATGAACCTCTGATAATAATTGGTGAAAATTGAATTAATGTTTTCTCTTCAATGGTAAATAGTGATTATTCTTGTCAGATTAGTTTTTTGTTATTATTAAATTATATTTTTTTTTAAGTGGATATTAATATCCCTCAAAGCTTTATAAAAAAATATTTATTAATTAACATTATTTATTTCGATATTTAAATATTATTCATATTGACCTTAATAATTGTTATATTTATTATTTACACCTCGGGTAATACTTAATTCTCAAAAAAATTATAATTTTTATCTACTGACTATTGTGTTGCATTAATTATTATCTAGGGGATTAAAAGCGATGGTTTTTTGTTTTTGTTAAACACATGTACAACATAAAAATGTTAGAATGTTCTATTTTCAACATTCTAATTGATCAAGTGAATTAAATTGCTTGTCTTTCCCATATTTTTACATATTTTTAATTTTATCCTCTTTTAATCCTAAAAATTTTTTATTAAAAAATTGTTATACTTTACTTTTGAAGAAGTTGAAATCAAAATTATGGAATGATAATTGATCTCATATCAAATTTGTTTTCAGTTTTATTACTTATTCGATTAATCTTTTTTTTTTTTTTTTTCTGAACTTAAGCTTTGGCGACTAGGTCCATTAGCTGTTGTAGGGGTAAGGTTGGTATGGTAGGTTCTTTTTTTATGATTGTTACGGTTGATAGTAAACACGTGTATGTGTGGCAAGGTTTCTAACCACTATGATCCCGGGTGATCACCCATCCGGGAGCTAGTAGCTATGGCCGCTACTTACTCTCAGTTGCATTTCGCGACTGGTAGCAGCCAACGCGCCATGCCAAGCCACTCGATTAATCTGTAGAGTATGCATCTAAATTTTTATATCAAACAGGTGTCCAATCCTCTTAGTAAAATACTATATTTTTTAGTTATATATTCGTAAGGTATTAAGTAGATAGCAATAATTGAAAGAATGTGTTTTGTATTTGTGTGAATAATGTCCAATAATTTTTGTAATCTAAATCAAATCTTATAAGGATTTTTCTTTATTGCCCAAAGTAGAATATTGGTGTCAGATATTACCTCGTTGACGAGAAAGCAAATTAGTAAAGAGGATGAATAGAAATAATTTTTAAGATCAACATATAATTAAGAATAACTAATGTTTTGGTACTTTAGTATGTTATTTCTAAGTAATAACTAGGGCACGAATGTTGTAGTAGTAAAAAACTACTAAAATTGATTGCAGTATTGCACTAAAAAATACCAAAAACTGCACTTAAAATATTAAAAAATGCACTAAAAATTATGTTTCGTTATAATTTATAGATGTTTTATTTTAATTCTGCCAAAAAATATATTTTTTATATTTTATAATAATAAATATTAATTAATAATCTATGCGTATTCTAAACATATTAAATATTTTAAATTTTAAACCTTATTGCATTGGACTATAAGTGTTTGTTTTAAATTTTTGAATTCGAATGCTCTTCGATTTGGAGCCAATAAGTTCTTATACCTTGAAAAACTTCGTTCTACATCGGTTGATGTTAGTGGAGCATTACTATATACTGGAAATATTTAAGTATTATCTTATTTATACGAGTTTCGAATATAGCTAAAACGGTTGTATAAATGATTAAATTCAACAAAATTGCAATAAAATTCCAAAAATTGCACTTAAAACTTTTAGATTTGAATTCGTACTTACATAAAACGTATTTAAAACTTACTTAGCAATAAATTGGAAAGGTAGAAGAAAAGTTGTAAATGCAACAACATCCGTGCCCTAGTAATAACATTTAAACAACTAAATAAGAATAAATATTTTTATATACCTACTATAATTTCCATAAGTAAATTTCTCTATTGTTATTTCTTATTGTCCAGTTTTATTTTTTTTTTCATTAAATATAAGTAAATACTTATTTATATCTGTCTATAGATTTGTGTGAGAATATAGAAATATATAATTTGAAAAGATTATGTGTAAGTAAGTTAGGCAGAAAAATATAGTCTATTTATTTTTAAAATTCACTGACAAATTCTAAATACAAAAGATGAAGAATATCTACATTTTGAAAGCAATTAGTTAATATGATGATGCTTATTAATCTATTTATTATATTGATAACTGGAATTTTAAGAGATATTTGAAAAAATTACTAACAGAAAATTAATATTGACCGACCATACATGATGTAAGCATGGTACTTTATTTAGGTGCGTGGGAGAATAAGACTTAAAGAGAGGTCTTACTCCATTCATAAAAAAAATACACTAGTTCTGCTCACTTTTTTCCCTTTCACCAGTCATAACCTATGCTGTATGTGGAGATGTATGCTGCCAGACAGATATTGGTTGCCATTTAGTGTATTCTCTTTTGGAACGGAATATTGTTAAAGATGAGAAGATTGTGTAAAAAAAGACATCACAATGTTAAGCTCTGAAATTAGATGGAGGAATAAAATGATGTATTTGGGTATGAAATAGGCATTAGTATTGTTATTACTAGAGCTCGAAAGCTCTAGCAAATGCATGTTTTTCTTTGTTTGTCCTAAAACATTCAAAGTAAAATACAAATATTTTTCACGTTTCTCTGATGTCATACATGGAATTTAATTTTGCTATTTTTTTTTTTTTTGCATATTTACGGTTTTTAATGTTAATTTAGTGTTTTTAGTACTATTTTTGGGTATATTTTCACATAATATATGAAATATTTGCATTTTGTTGAAAACAATGATTTATTTAACTATATTTTTAAAAATATTTGAATTCTTGGAAAAAATTTTACTTTTTAACTGAAAATTGTAAAATTACATTTGATTTTTTCTAATAAATTCATAATATTTTCAAGTTAAATGTATATTTTTGTGATTTTTTGAGCTATTTATAGTGCATATTTTGGAGTTTTTAAGTGCATATTCTAGAGCTAAAAAGTAACATTTTTAGTGCTACAAATTTTGAGCCTTGGTTTTTATCAAGACTGACAATACCAATTAATAGTATTATTGGAAAATAATATTAAATAACATATATGTATATATTTTAATTTATTGTTCACAATGTAGAAGAATAAATTCAGTAGCCTAATCAAATTCAAATGTATCACTAAAATTATATTTTGTATGAAACTTATTTCTACCTAATTAGAATTTTCTTACTGAAAGATACCTAACCTTCAAGGCAACTTCTTTAGTTCTATATCAGTTTAAAGACTAGTTAATTAACATACGACTAAGTATTTGAACTTAGTGTTAGTATCTTGATGTTTTCATTTATTTTTATAATTATAGTAATATGAAATAAGTACATATTAATGATAGCTATAATTTCTTATTTTAATTGCCTATTAAATCATAATTTTTTTAATAAATATAGCCCCTGCGGCACCTGTTGTGGCCCCAGTGCCAGTTGGTGTTCCTGGAGCAATGGGCGTTCTTCAACCTCAGGCTCCTGCATTACAACCACAACTAGTTGATGTACCAGGTAAAGTTTCATAATAATAATTTAAAATATTTATAGTTAGTTTTTAAATAATCCTAGATGTTATTGTTTATTTATGAGAAACAAGTTTACCATGCTCCAAAGTAAATTAAATAAAATCAAATTCAAAATGATGATGTAATAAAAAATTATTGCAAGGATTTTATTTCAAAGTTATAGCTATTTGAAGTTTATTATTTATCACAGTAATCAGGTTTAGTGATAGTATGAGGATGGTTTCACAAAATCATAGCTATGTCCCTTGCATGTGGTAGCCGATATACCTTTTATTATTTTCTATTGATTTCCTGTCTTAAAACTCGAAATTCTATGGACTTTTCATAGTATTGCCAATTAAAGTATAACACGAGTAGTTGCTCCCTATGTCTATTGGTGATAAATTAACTGTTAGCAGTCTTCATATGTCAAAAAGCAATATAAACGTGTGCTCATAGACAAAAATGCTGTATGCGACGCTCATCGATAGGCGATCCTTATGATAAATTAAAAACGTCAAACGATATC